TTGGCTTTTATCCTGCCGAGAGACCCACCCATTATATGATAAACCATTGTGAATTATTTCCCTATAGTGTGACTTTGGGGCGTCAGTTAACAAGTACGGCTTGCGCAATACAATGGACTCTAACCACCACCCCAACCCCCAACCTCTACCCCTCCCAACCAACCCCCTCCCACCCCATTGTTTTTCATTTGGACGATTACATCACATAAAAAAGCCCCTTATACAATTCCCATCTTAGAGAAACTTAAATACGCTTATTATACACTAGCTTGCACATTTCGGGTCACATTTCTGAGATTGTCTGTTTGACATCATCCTCGACTATCCAGGGAAGTATCCCGCCTTCTGTTGTGATAAATACCCTCGTTCCATTCGCCAGCTAAACTTCGTTTAGGAGGTGACGTCACTATCTCAAACTCCGTTATCACTAACTTGCAAAGGATTTCTCTCCCGTGGGGATTCGTTGTAAGAATGTAGGTTCGAATGGCACTGATTATGTTTCTAGTTTATCAGAACCTCCCTTTGCTCGTGGGTTTCACCAAAGTGGTAAAGGTTATACCTGCATCACTTCGGGTTTTCATCCATATAAAGCTGACATACAGTGATGTAACTGAATATTCACAGAGACAGTTAACCACTCACTCACTCACTCAACCGCCTCCGTGGTCTAGGGGTAGAGTGTTCGCCCTGAGAGCGGTTCGATCCCCGGCCGCGTCATACCAAAAGACGTTCAAAGATGGTACTTGTTGTTACCCTGTCTGGCGCTCGGCATTAAGGGACTAAAACAAGGACTAGTCGGCTCGGAGTGTATACTGTGTCTGAGTGGGGTATTTATATTAAACTGCGTCTTGCTCATTGGTTAGACTTGAAACAGGGAACTAAAATCGGTTTTATAAACTATGATACGGAGATCTGACTAGCGGTGTTTCCCCTGTGATCCAAGCATGGAGGTGGTGCCGACACTATATCTGGTATACATCGTTCTGTCCTCAAATGTTGGTAAGTTCTCTTTTGTGTCACCTTATTGCAGATTATACCGTGCAACCGCCACATAATCTCTAATCCACAATTCGACAGGGTTCTATTGTAAGTTAAAAACATTTGAATTTTATTTGCTGTTTTTAATCCAGATTATTATAATAACGGCAGTTTCGGACAGGGTATCCAGTGATTAATATAATGAGCCCACGCTGTCAGGGAACGATGACGTGCAATCAACAAAATCACCGAGTCTGACAACCGATCCATTCACGGTTCTGATTGGTGTCATCATATTCTGATTCATTGGTTTGATTGGCCATATTATCTGAAGTATTTTTAAATCTTATTTTCCAGTCAACGCCATAAAGAGCTCACAAATGACAATGATCTATTTATATGGTACTTAAGTTTAGATGACATTCACAGTGTCGACTTTGATCCAACAGGGTGACGCAAGCCGAACTTAAGAACTATCAACTTTATGCAATCAATAGTACTTGCCTGTGGTCTTCATATTGTGCCCTGACATTAACATTTAATGTAATATGTCAAAGTGGACTGGTTCACGAATCTATAATCTATAAAACTAATCGTCCATCGTTCAGGTTGATGTTTCTTTGTAAGATCAGTTAATGCGCGTCGAGCATTAGAGTGTCGCGTTTACCTTGTAACGGGATATAGTTTTCCTGAGGAAATGATAACAGCTTGACATCCCGGTTTAAAATCATTTCAACTTTACAAGGGTACTTGACTAAGTTATCCTCATTGCCTTTTATGCATAGAAATATGCTCTGAATTTGTTCATTAAATTGACAAAGAGGGTATTTAGCCTTCAAAACTGGCATCCACAGGCGATATGACATGGGAGAGGTACAATGAAATTGTACCACAGTGCTTTGCAGACCATTGTGATGTCATCGGTTACCATGACGCCCAAATCATAATAGTATCACCAATATCTCTGCCACTGGAGCTAGTTAGCTTTACGTTTTATACTAAAAAAACTTGTTAATTTGGAATAATGATTTTGAATGATACATATGAAGAATCTCACCCTTGTGTCGTTCGATATGAAATATATCAACACTCGTTGTCTATAATCTTAAACTATTTACCAACATAGGGTGTTATATATCCTGGAAAAATCATCTCCCGAAAAAACATCAAGTGTTTGAATGGAATTACTGACAAAATGAACTGGGACAAACGAATGAGATCTGCATGAATAACCCTCTTACAATAGGTGAGGTGAAATGGGGTTTAACGTCGCGTCCAATATTATTGCACTTATATAGCGACGTGCATGTACGTGTGTGTGTTTGTGTTGCTGCTTGTACTAGTCCGGACTGATGCCGATTTATAGAGCTAGCTCACTGAGATACCATGCCGCAGTTTAACATGAATACCCCACTCAGACACAGTATACTGACTCCGACCCGACCAGTCCTTGTTTGAGCCCCTTAATGCCGAGCGCCAGACAAGTACCATCTTTTAACGTCTTTCGGTATGACGCGGCCGGGATCGAACCCTGGGAACTTCCGCTCTCCGGGCGGACGCTCTACCACTAGACCACGGAGGCGGCCCCCCTCTTACAATAACAAACCACCACCAATGTATACGGAGGTTGGATTATTCACGATATTGTAGGATGTGTTTTCATCCCAAAACTATATCACTTAAAAAGGAGTGGAGCTCCAGAGTTCAGGTGGTTGTTTCTGATAAAAATCAATATGAGCTCCCAGATTTCACCTGTCGTTGATGAAGGGGCAACTAAAGCCCCTCCCGATGAATATCACGCAGATTCTGAACAGGAGGCTTCAATGAATCCATACGACGCAGCCCCCAAAACGCTCAAGAGGATCAGATAATGACGACCTGAGGCAGAGCCGTCACTGGGTTGCTCTGGAGGTAGGCTGTCACTGCCCGGGATCGTTTGTATGTTTGTTGTTTAGCGCCGCACTCAGCAATGTTCCAGCTATATGACGGCGGTCTGTAAATAATCGAGTCTTGACTAGACAATCCAGTCATTGACATCGTGGGAATCGATCAACGCAATTGGGATACGATGCCATGCGTCTACCAAGTCAGCGAGCCCGACCACCCGATCCCGTTAGTCGCCTCTTACGACAAGCATAGTCGCCTTTTTATGGCAAGCATGGTTTGCTGAAGACCACTTCCAACCCGAATCATCACGGGTGCCGTATTCCTCTGCCTTCAAAGCCTTAGTCGTCCATTCGTGACAAGGAACATGCGCCTGCGTTCGTCGAACCAGTTGAATTGTCGCCATTCTCTCAGATCCCAAGCACGTCTTGCCAAATAAACTTTCCAAATGGAAAGTCTGATGGTGATCTGCCTGTGGGAGCGTTTGATGACCCTCCTGGACGCCATTCCTGCTGATCTCAAGATGTTGTGGTGGACAGACGTCAATTGGGTAGGCATCGTCTCTTCAGGACGGGATTCATTTCCAATGGCTCTTGTCCTGCTAACCGAAGCTGTGTCCGTAAAAAACGCTGTAATGTCACAGGAGGTCATCCTGACCTTGGAGTGTCCTTCACAGCATCGGGTTGACAATGTTTGGTTACCAATCGGATGATTACTTAATAATGATACCCAGATAGCTATAAAGGTCGGTTGACCATGTTTGGTTACCAATCGGATGATTACTTAATAATGATACCCAGATAGCTATAAAGGTCGGTTGACCATGTTTGGTTACCAATCGGATGATTACTTAATAATGGTACCCAGATAGCTATAAAGGTCGGTTGACCATGTTTGGTTACCAGTCGGATGATAACTTAATAATGATACCCAGATAGCTATAAAGGTCGGTTGACCATGGAGAGCGTCGATTATATGCAATGTTTGTACCTCTGATATTCTCTTTAGTGCATCAGGGAAACAAGTAAACGTTGCAAGACACTGAATTTAATTACCCAAATGAGAAGCCGAAACATTCAGTCTGCATTTTACCGTTTCCGCGATGAGTTTGGACATTACCGTTTGAACGTACAATGCGAAAGGTCACATCTTTACGATGGAACGCTATTCTTTGTATAATCATCAATAGCATTACAATTAAAAAATAATGGTAATTTGTTTAAATCCATTATCTAATGGTGTGCTTATATTTTACTCAGGTGTATAGTTGATGTCAAAAGAAACGGGTTAAAAATCTCTATTTTTCTGAAATTAATAAAATTTCATTTTCAATTCTCGGAAAATATGATTCATCAATTGATGCGAACGCCCCAACACTGCTCTCACCAATATTGCCAGTTCGGAGACAAATTACAACTTGATATGTTGAATAATTAAGTCTAAGCTTGATAGAGATTTTGCTCAAAGTTGGGAATGATATTCTGAAGCAATTAATTAAAAGCGCTTATCGATAGATTAAAATGCGTTTTTGCGATATGCTGTTTAATGCTTAATATACGCATAGGCGGTTATAGAATTCATCTAAACAAAACATGCAAAAGATACGCCGTATATCTAGAACCGGACCTAAATTTATATAATGTCTTGGATAAATGCATTCTTGTAGTCAGTTGGTTGGTTGGAAGGTTTTAGATATATTCCCATATTTCATCAATATACCAGCGGTGAACATCAGAAATGGCCTCCACACATACAACCATGAGGGGAATCGAACCCGAGCTACCACTAGGCTACCCACCGCCCCCTGACGAAAGTGGCGAGGATTGACGGGTGGTCAAGTTGTGTGAGATAAGACATGAAAACGTCCTTGTTCTATCAACATTGAAACTCTTTGTCAGCAGGACACGAAACAAGGAAGAGGGTTTAGCGATAACTTTCAGGAAGTGTCAGTCGATACCATATCCATGTAACGATACACCATGATTAAACGAAAATCGAGAAGCAGATTAATGAGTGAGTGAGTGAGTATGGTTAAAGCCGCACTGTTCAATATTCCACCAATACAACTGAGTGAGTGAGTGAGTGAGTGGGTGAGTATGGTTTTACGCCGCTTTTAGCAATATTCCAGCGATATCACGACGGGGGACACCAGAAATGGGCTTCACACAATGTACCCATGTCGGGAATCGAACCCGGGTCTTCGGCGTGACGAGCGAACGATTTAACCACTAGGCTACCCGAGCGACCCACCAATACAACTGGGTACACCAGAAATGGGTTTCACACATTGTACCCGTGTACCCTGGCTTACCCATCTATTCTAACCAGGGTCGCCACGGGATACTGTCAGAATACAGAAGTATATAATATCAACCAGCAAAATTATATCTTTCATACCCACGCTCCACTGCCCACTCCGGTAATATTCACATTAAGTCAATTATAATTTTAGTTGGCCCTCGTCCGTCCTTGAAACTTTACCAAGGAAACATAATGATAACATGTATTTGTAACTGCACTGGCTTATTGTAACTACTGTCATAAAGTAATGAATGAATGATGTTCGATAAAAATAAGAACAGTAAAGCTGTTTGCCTATTGATGATGTGTACATGTCGTCGGGTGTGATTTCGTTTGTCTGCCATTCCGTTTCGGTTCGACAGTTGTATGCACCCGGTTCATACTTTTTTTATGTAACCACGTGCTGTCCGTGTGCGTCTGTTGACAAACTGCCATTCCTTTCCTAAGACTATGATGATGAACAAACTGCCATTAAATGGTCTGAATAACTGCCGAGGACTTTTTCGTCTTCTTTTCAACTACCGTTGATGCTATTGCCAATAGGTCATGTGCAATGTCGTGTTATTGGGGTATCTTTAACTCGCGTTGAACGCGAAAGAAGATACCAGATGAGGTTTCTGAAATAGATGATCATGAAGTAAATAAAAACAGATTACGTTTTGAAACGTAAAATGGAACCACACTCGCAAAACACAGTTTGGTCTAACGCCGCTTTAAACAGTATTCCAGTTATTCACGGTGTGTCAGCTTAATGTGGGAGAAAAGCCCGAAGTAATGCACGTCTCAGTCGTTTACCACTCTGGAGGAACCCGCCAGTATGGATATTGTCCTGACGTACCGAGAAACAGAACCTGGGGGAGTATTGGGATTCGAACGCAAGGTCATAGTATCTGGCTCCCTCAAGGGAGGCAACTCTGCACAGCGAATGTAAAGCACGGACGGACGGACGGGTATTATATCATAATTGTTGTAACAACAATGCTGCAGGTGATCCAAAATTGGATTTTCACCACTAGTGAGTGGGTATTGTTATACGCCGCATTTAGCAATTTCCCAGCAATATCACGACCTAGGATACTAGAAGTTTGCTTCATACATTGTAACCATTGTCACCCGGGCCTTCGACAAGACGAACGAACGCCTTAACCTCCATGCTACTTCATTTTCACCATGACGTGACTGAATTGATGTACTAGAAACCGTTATATCGTTCCAGGAGTATTTGGGATCATTTCCAGATGTACCTTGAAGAAAGAGGACAGTTTAAGCTTCCAGTGTCGCAAACATCACGTGATCTACGACCCAATAATATCGCTGGGCAGGAGTGACGAGCACCCCTGCATGGCTGGCCCCGATGACTGTACAGGATTGAACAGGGAGCTCCTGAGGAAGCGCAGGAAGTGTTTCTGGAGAAGACGCTGTTCCTTGCAGTGGAAAACGGGCCAACCCATTAAGTCTTCAGACCAGGACAGATGCATCGACAAGATACCAACCTATGTCGCGTATGACACCCCCAAGTGTATTTTGAAAGGTAGGTGGCCTGCCACGTCTCTTATAATATCAACATTAATCTTTAATCAGTTACTTTGTCTGTGTCTGCATATTGTGGTCTGGTTCAAATTGCGATTACTGAAACAGACAGTGGAGACGTGCTTCTTTACTAGCTTACTTGCGTTTTTGAACGCATCACCTTACTTTAGAACCCAGTATGTTCCTTCATGGCGCATTTAGGGTGCGTGTGTGTGCGGGAAGGGGGCAATGAATAACACAAACCAGACAGAGGATTATACTTACATTTTGAACTAGAATGAACACCAAACAATGAATGATGGTTTTGCTTCGGCTTTTTTTTAACCCTTTAGAATTTGGAGAGAATGTTTTACAGTTATCGTGTTGCAAAGTTAGGATAGATTTATGGATGAGGAACTTTTTTATTACAACTGCGAAATGTTGTGATGCAGTTTATTGAATTGGTGCCTGCTCACGCTCGTATTGTGGTCGTGCACTGAGTCGGGCCCACTCCAATTAGGTGTTCATCCTGCTGCTCAGGGAGAAGGTGCTGAAAGGCAAGCTCGAAGTGCAGTCTCAGACTTTTACCATCCAACAAGGGTGGCCATGATGCTGATACATCTAGGAGCATAATTGGGGCGAACTGGGATTAGAACCTTCATAGGTTGTTCGCAGGCCTAAGGGACGCATCTAGTACATGTATAGTGAATGAGGTGAGGTGAAATTGGGTTAAACGTTGCGTCCAAGATTATTGCACTCATATAGCGACGTGCATGCACGTGTGTGTGTGGCTGTTGGTACAAGTCCGGACTGATGCCGATTTATAGTGCATGCTCACTGAGATACCATGCCGCAGTTTAACATGAATACCACGTTTCTTTAACGAAATCTTTAACGCCGAGCGCCAGACAGGGTAACAACAAGTATCAGCTTTTAACGTCTTTTGGTATGACGCGGTCGGGGATCGAACCCCGGACCTTCCGCTCTCCGGGCGGACGCTCTACCACTAGACCACGGAGGCGGTCCGTGTAGTGAATGAACCCGTGCTCGGGTGCTCACCTTATATTACCTTTTGCGCTTACAGCAGATACAAACTTTTCATTTCCCACTCTCCATTCAAATCATGACTCATTTTGTTAAAAGAAATTATTAATGCTTCGATGTATTTGTTTAATAAATACATTTTTGAAAGAGTGGGGCGGTCGGGTAGCCTGGTGGTTAAAGCGTTCGCTCGTCACGCAGAAGACCCGGGTTCGATTCCCGACATGGGTACAATGTGTGAAGCCCATTTCTGGTGTCCCCCGCCGTGATATTGCTGGAATATTGCTAAAAGTGGCGTTAAACCATACTCACTCACTCCCTCAATAATGAAAGATCATTTACCAATGCACAAAAGGAAGAGAATTTATGGATGTTAAAATCTTTATCATGAGGAACACAACGTTTCGGAGTATATGCTTACTCCTTCATCGGGTTAGATAATGCTATGAGGTAGAGAGCATATATATGTGCATGTAAGCACAACAAAAGTAATAAGATAACAAAAGGTTGAAACGCATCAAGGGAAGCCAATAAATAATTGGCGCTAAAAGGTGATTAGCGATAAACAATAGAGGCCAACACTTTCCATCTGCTTGTATGTTTTCAGCCAAGGTGTTCAGCATGTGCGACAATAGTGTGAAACTGTCTCAAGCCAAAGAAGGCATCATCAGGAGCCATGACCTGTTTCCGGGTCAGTTTCCTCGACTGGGTAACACCACCTGCACCCAAATTTTAAAACTGAAGGCTGGACATCGGCTACACCTGTCAGTGGACCATCTCCGGCTGGACGCGGTGGACCGTCTGACCGTGCGTCACTTCAGGGGCGCGAAGAAACTGGAACTGATAAACTCCAACAGTCTAAAGAGCAAACAGTTTGATGTTGTCGAAGGATATCTGAATATAACGCTCAAAGTTTCAAGCAAGGGATTGGTGGAAGAGGGCGGCTTTATCATAAGATTTGAAAGTGAGCTTAAAAATCCCTCATAGTGCTTCGAGGATAGAATAGGTCCACAGCCGCGTATGTTTGTTGTAAGAGGCGACTTAGTGGATCAGGTTGTGATTGTGTGAAAGTTTTCCAGAACGATGAGACTCGGTGCTCATGATATCATTTTTTCATCATCTGGTCTAGACGTATATACGGACTGTCGTTATAGAGCTGGAATATTGCTGATGGCATGTCAGCTTAATGTGGAGGAAAGCCCAAAGTGATTCAGGTTTTACACCTTTACCACTTTGGAAAACCCACGAGCACGGGCATGGTTCTGACAAAGCTATAAACATATTTAGCGCGAATCGGGATTTGAACCCACAGCGACTCGGGCCTTCTAGAGGTTGGGTAGCCTAGTGGTTAAAACGTATCGTCCGCACGCCTAAAGTCCGTGTTCGAGACCCGGGTACGAACTGTGAATCCAATTTCTGGTGTCGTGATATAACTTGACACCCGGACACCCACCCTCCAGACGATACCTATATAAGGTCTACATAAATAGAAGGGGATATTCCAATAATTCGTTAATCCGGACATTTGTCAATCCAGACAACTCACCTTGAAACGGTACCGTTCAGGTTAACGGATTTCACTGTATATATTATTTTCATGCTTGCAGATATACAGATGTCTTCATCTGCGCCCCGCACAAGAGGGTTTACTGTATCAAATGAAGTCATAAGCAAGGGACCACGAAAACCAAAATCAAAATGTAAGTCAGTTCATTCATTTCCTTATTGTACAACACACCGAACTTCAGTATTCCGTCATTTAATTCTTCGGTCACCGCTTCAGGACATCAATTCTTTTCTCTGATAGGAGGAGTTGGACAATTTTTGACATCTGTTCCTTGGGACATCCATCATATACAGCAAACTATACATTTGTTGTTAAATACCTACAAAACTATTTTTCTCCAATATTGTCTGGAAAACTTATGTTCTTACGGAAATTTCAGAAACATTGGCACAATCACTTCATAAGTCACATAAAGCAAGATAAAATCACATGAAAGTTCGAAACGTTTGAGAAACAGATGGTGACTAAGATGAACTCTGGTTTCAGATGATGCTTCCGTGGATGAACGCATCATCAGGTCAAACTCACCCATGACTTTCACGTGTCCCGCCTTCCACATCCTCTACAACCCAATCATCATGGCTGGGGTCAACAGCTTCAGAGGGCGCATCATGTCTACTTCCAAAGATTGCCATGGGCAGTACACTGGCTTGATCACAGAGACCAACAAATGCTACTGGAACCAACAGTGCCAGATTGGCAAACGATCAAGCATGCCCTTGACAAGAACCTTTGAACTGAGGTGCCTTGCACTCATGCCTGACTACTTGTCCACAAAGGGTTATGAGTGTGTCGCTAAAGGTAGGCTCTCGTGTATCGTTAAGTGCAGGTGGTTTCACTAGATATCGATATACCTCGAGGGGATTCCGGGTTAGAATTGGTCGCCAGCAACCTATGCTGCTCGTAAGAGGAGGCTAAATGGATCGGGTGGTCAGGCTCGATGACTTGGTTGATTCAGGTCATCGTGACCCGACAGCATTGTAAATAATATCACTGATCTGTCCGGTTCAGATTATTTACTGAACCGCCTCCATATAGTGAGTGAGTGAGTGAGTGGCGTTTAAAGCCACTGTGAACAGTATTGCAGTAATAGCAGGGCGTATCAGCTTAATGTTGGTGGAACGCTCGAAGTGATGCAGGTCTCAGACCTTTATCACTTTGGGTAGAGTGCTGACAAACCAAAAAACATGAGCAGGGCGAAAGCTGGAATAGGAGAAACTTTATGAAGAAAGAAGATATGGTTACACAAATACATAAGAAATAGTTGATAGTTTGACATGGATGTACCAAAGACATCACAAAAGTAGTTATCTTAGTTTTCAACCAAGGCTGATGTTGGATGCAGCTTGAAACAGAACATAATTACAATCATGTATTTGCATTCAAAAACTTTTCAAAAATGTTTCACAAACGTATTCAATACAGGTCAGAGTGAGTGAGTGAGTGAGTGAGTGAGTGAGTGAGTGAGTGAGTGAGTGAGTGAGTGAGTGAGTGAGTGAGTGAGTGAGTGAGTGAGTGAGTGAGTGAGTGAGTATGGTTAACGCCGCTTTTAGCAATATTCCAGCGATATCACGGCAGGGGACACCAGAAATGGGCTTCACACATTGTACCCATGTCGGGAATCGAACCCGGGTCTTCTGCGTGACGAGCGAACGCTTTAACCACTAGGCTACCCGACCGCCCCCAATACAGGTCAGATCTGTTCCTTCTTTGCAGCCAACGTTTTCGACATGTGTGACAAAACGTCCGTCATTACCACACCAGAAGGTCTGATCAAGAGCCACACCAACTACCCATGGCACTACACAGCACGACCAATAATTTGCCGAAAGAAACTCCGAATCAACCCAGAGTATGGCCTCCATCTTTACACAGACGAAATGGACCTTGACCCGTCCACAAGGGGAGATAACTTGAAGGTATTTCTCTTGCGGGGAAAGAAGGAACTTATCAGAAAATATGTGGGGGGACGACGAGTGAACCTCCACATTTTGTCCGGAACTGTTGAAGTCCAGTTCAGAGTGTCCAGGCGATCAAGAGGTGGAAGAGGATTCATTCTGCGATTTAAAGGTAGGTAGTAATAGTCACAAGCAGAGAAGTACAAACGTACTTATTGAAATGTTGATCCTGGCATAGGTGTGTGTGTGTGTGTGCGTGCGTGCGTGCGGGCGTGCGTGCGTGCGTGTGTGTGTGTGTGTGTGCAACATCATGCGGGTATGTTATAAAATACGAGGTGGGAGTCTAGGTAAGGCAAACCAGTGACCAGTGATGTGTGTGTGTGTATGTGTATGTGTGTTTGTGCGTGCATGTGCGTGTGTGTGCGTGCGTGTGTGTGTATGTGTGTGTGTGCGCGCGTGTGTGTGTATGTGTGTGCAAAATCATGCGGGTATGTTATAAAATACGAGGTGGGAGTGTGAACGGCTATCGGGAATATAGATCGGATGTAGTGCGGACATTTATGCTGGATATCCGCCCTTGTCCCTGTGGGGTTGTCAGGTAATACCTGGTCCTACGGAATCTATGTTGGTCATCACGGTCATCATGGTCATCATGGTCATCATGGTGACCATGGTGACCTGTTGCCTTACGTATGGATCGCTGCTCATAATATTAATCACTGGTGTGTTTGGTCCTGGATTAATTATGTTCATTAATCTGGTCAATTAGTACGGCATTAAACAAACAAACAAAAAAGAAACCTACAAATGACTAGTGATGCTGAATACTTTTAACGTCCATTTGTTACAGGTATTGTTAAGCCACAAGTCAATGTTAAAGAGGCCCATGGTATGACCAACGAGGTGCCTGTTGTGAAGATTAAACGACGATGCAGGAGCAAGGATATACGTACGAGCCATGAAATACGTTACTAAAATCCCATTTTCTAAATTTGTCCTTAACAAAATAAAAAAATATAAAATCCATATATGTTGCGAAAGTTTGATATTTTATTCTTCAAATTATGTATTTATTATTATAACTTGTAATTAACTACTTTTTATAAGCTCGTGAGCATGAGTTTGATTCTCCAATAAGCGCATGTTTATTCACATATTCATCACTGAGTATGTTTTATCATTACATCTTTTCAGGTACAATTTTATACGAAATGAGAGGGAAGATAGTTGCCACGGGAACCAGATGTATCGGAGGGAAACGGAGTCCAAAAAGGAAGGGCCGATTATCAAGATCACCTCGAACTCGACATTCTCGTTATAATCACGGAAAACGGCGCCATTGAACGCCCTGAACGATCAGTGTCATTATTCTTACCTCCAAAATCTTACATGGTTATGAATTAACATTTACTGAAAAGACATTCCGCTGTTTCGAAGTTATACGGTTGAGCTATAGAAGTAGTGGACATTGTCAAGCTGGTGACGTCATCATCCCCTTTTGCGCTATCGGTACTGTAAGTGTCTGCTTGTCATTGGATGTGGTGCCGTTTCCTGCAAATCGGGAACCTCATACCAGAGTGAGTGAGTGAGTGAGTATGGTTTTACGCCGCTTTTAGCAATATTCCAGCAATATCACGGCGGGGGACACCAGAAATGGGCTTCACACATTGTATCCAGGTCGGGAATCGAACCCGGGTCTTCGGCGTGACGAGCGAACGCTTTAACCACTAGGCTACCCGACCGCCCCTCCTCATACCAGAGATACAGTTCCTCGGATATCATCGTGTTTATATGAGTACTGTTTCGTCTGTCAAAGGATTCCGGTTTATAGAGAGATCGGTTTGTAGAGAAATCAACTTATAGATAGGCACACGTTTACATTGTTGTATGCTGTTACCCCATCTGTGCCCTCCAGTATGTTTGGTTGTTGCCCTTGACAATCTCCCTTGGAGGCAAAGGTTGTTTCCACACAAGGAAACCAATTTGTGAAGACTCCGCGTCGAGTCCACAGTCGTGGTTGGTTTGGTTGGTTTGTTGTTTAACGCCGCACTCAGCAATATTCCAGCTATATGACGGCGGTCTGTAAATAATCGAGTCTGGACCAGACAATCCAGTGATTGATATCATGAGCATCGATCCACGCAATTGGGATCGATGACATGTATCAACCAAGTCAGCGAGCCTGACCACCCGATCCCGTTAGTCGCCTTTTACGACAAGCATAGTCGCCTTTTACGGCAAGCATGGTTCCTGAAGACCTATTCTAACCCGGAATTTCACAGTCGGGATGGAACATTCTCATATGTAACGTACATGAAACGTAGATGTAACACCACTCATTGGTTCGGTACAAAGATACTCACACATGTACTTTGTCATCAGACTGTTACGCCTGTCTAGTTTGTCGTATATAGAGACAGAGTTGTAATTTTTTCAGAGATCGACCGATCTCGCCTAAAATCAGAGAAGGTGTATGCAATGTTTAAACCCTTGTCATATAACGCCTTCATTCAATAATCTCGTTCTGCTTCATGTTTACAATGATACACTGCGTTCCTGTGCGTCACACCCTGAAATTGTTTTTTTACGCCTACACAACAATATATGTTCCTAGGGTATACCTAGTGTAACGTAATAATAATAATAATAATTTATGCATTTGTATAGCGCAGCATTCACTGTTCATAAGTGCTCTGTGCGCTATGTTCATCTATGATCTCTTATGCTAAGGTTCTGCCAAAGTTACATGAATTTACACTGCCTCTTTGTGTTCATATTGAAATACATTTGTCTTTGTTATTGTTTTTTTATTACGCAATAAAAAAAATCAGCAATTCATGATCGTTAAGCAATTTTATTAAAAGAAACAATGAAGGCAAAGCGAACACTTTTGACTTGGTTGAGCTTCATCTTCATCAAAACATCCATATTGACAGCGCTATATACAATAAGAAACATATATACTGATAACATAGCATCACGTGTGACGGGAGGACGGGTCGCCCAGTCGCCTGATAACGCCTAAGACCATGTTTCATGAATGTCCGCACTACTTTTTTCACGAGAGCCGTTCACACTTCCGCCTCGTATTTTATAACATACCCGCATGATTTTGCACACGCACGCACGCACGCACGCACACACGCACACGCACACACCAGGGCGTGGTGCGTTGGCCATTTCAGGGGTCACTGGTTTGCCTTACCTAGACTCCATTATTTACAGGGGCGGTCGGGTAGCCTAGTGGTTAAAGCGTTCGCTCGTCCCGCCGAAGACCCGGGTTCGATTCCCGACATGGGTACAATGTGTGAAGCCCATTTCTGGTGTCCCCCGTCGTGATATTGCTGGAATATTGCTAAAAGCGGCGTCAAACCATACTCACTCACTCACTCCATTATTTGCACGCCGTCGTCGTATGGCCGAGGTATTCCAGACTGGGACATACAACAAATTACAAACTGAACTAAAAAAAACAGCTTAAAACGACGTAAAAAGCAAACTAATGTTATTCAAGTCTATTTGCACATATCTAAATGGAATTTCCTGGATTGCTCATTATATATAAAGTCTCGGGCATTACAAATCTCGCGAGAAGAAGCAATGTTTTCTCTCGTTCAACCCTATACCCCATCCAGTCATACGTGCACGCACCTACGAACGCACGAGCACACGTACGCTCCCACTTGGGCGGATGAACACAAGATTTTCCACTACCAGAATAACTAAACACATTGAAATGTAGAAGTGAATTTCATGTACTCGCGTCTGTGCCCAGTAATGACAATTCTTCATGGTGTGTTATTGCTCTAAGAAAGCACTGCTAAGTGATAGAAAAGGACTCAAGCATCATTGTGATGTTGTCAGTATTCATATTAATCGAGCTTCAAAAACAGGATTGAGAAAATCCAGCAAACTCATCTTCCCGAGGCAAAGGAGTTAACTGGCCATAAACGTCCAGATTCCTGCCCTATCGAACTGGGTTGGAATTTCGAGGTTCGATGTTGCGCCACCATTAGCGAGTTATGTCCCTTCTATGTCCCTCCTATTGACCAATCACATTCCACTCGTTATATCACTTGCGTTTTCATCATACAAAATGGCGGCGCTCATTCTTGACGATCTGGCCATGGTCGATAATAAAGATGATAAAACGTGTCTTACATCGCGAAGCGTTTGAAATCACTGTAGCACCTTGATTAAAAACATAAATAAAGATTTGGAAAATATCTGCTAACGGTACACATGCTCTGCATATCCTGCAATCGACCGAAATCTGAACCGCAGTCGCCATGTTGTTTATGAACCGAATGTCGAGTTCGTTACTTTGATTTTGATTGGACTATGTACAGCTTTAACTATAAACCCATAATTCCAGCCTAGTTCGTCACGGGTGGAAACTGGATTTTTTACAGTCAGTTAACTCGCTTGCCTCGGGAAGATGCAGCAAACTATGCTAATATACAAGCGAATGCATTTAATCCTACTTTCAAAATGGAAAATAGGTCTCCGATTAACATCATTCACTGAAAATAATCCTTCTTTAATATCACAACAACTGATTGTTTCTAATATCTCAAATTACCAAAACAAAAATCAAAGTAACCCAAACGAAAAATTGGCCTTTCTGACACCTAGGTTATACCGTTTCATTTATTACCTATTCAGCTGCAATGGTTTACTTATACATTCCGGGTAAAATCGTCCAAATTTACACATTTCCGGTTTAACGGATTCTTTATCTTCCTTTTTTTCCGTTAAATTTGAAAAGCCTGTTTGTCTCACGGTGCTTTAACCAGCGCCCCACGGCGTAAACACTTACAATGTACACGTCCCATGTCACATTATATATCTATTGCAACTGAATTACACTTTTTTGGCAGATTTAACAGGACGCCAATTGTTAAAAGCTAGTTTGTAATTTTAAGCTATAAAATCGTATGCAAACAACATAGTTGTTTGATTTAATGTCATTACGCTATTTCGAATCACTAGGGGAGGGCAGGGCAGGGCAGAGCAGGGCAGGGCATGGCATGGCATGACAGGGCAGGGCAGAGCAGGGCAGGGCAGGGCAGGGCAGGGCAGGGCAGGGCAGGGCAGGCAGATCAAGGCAGATCAAGGCATTGTAGGTCAGGACTAACTTTCCCTTCATATGAACACCTGGTGTCATCTGATTTTAAGTGATCCTTTAACCTAATTTCTACCACTCTTTTGGCTCTTACGCCAAATGGAATCTGATTCTACCGATTATCGGGGACTGATCATTCTCAGGCGTTGAAGTATTTTATTAACCCAAGTTGATATAATAATGTTGCGTTATACAAATAGTGATTTATCCATGTACTATCTGTTGTTGGGCAAAGACATTAAAATTGCCCCCTATTGTGTTGCAAAACGAAACATTAGTCCAACGTTTTTGCTGTTCTTACAGACGTCAGAATCTCTGCACTTGTACACATCAGTCGTAATTCAAACTTAACATGTCGTTTTGTTTCAACAAAATCAGTAAATTCGCTATCGTGTCACTGGACTTCTGTTCCATCACTTGATTGTCTGGTTTGTTTACATGTCGCTGTCGCATGGCAAGGGTGCTGTAGGGCAAGGCCAATAAACTACAAATTCCCCTTTTAACAAATATCTGTTGTCATCACTGATTTTCATTAGGGACCTGTAATATTATGTTCGCCGCTACCTTACGACCAATGGAATCGCTTACGACCAATGGATAATCCAGACTGTTTATTCTCTAGCGTTGTCGTTGTATATTTTGTTTTAGTCTAGATTTAGTGCTACCATTCAAGAATGTATACTTCAGGAAGCATTGCCGTTTGACATAATTTCCAGATTATGTCCGTGAGTAATTGTGTCACTCGCGATTATCAGCTGAAACATATACATGTACTATATGGCGTAAAAAGCACCAACGATGTAAAAAATCTATTCATGGATCAACCAAAATCAGTAGTTCGCGAAAAGGGTAAGCATGGCCCGCTCTAATGTTAGCACCCGCCATTCACACATTTATAACTACGCACCTAACAACGCACCCAGCAATGCTCCTGCCATGTTGTGGCGAAATCTCGCGTTCTCGCGATCTCGCATTCTCGTGTTTTGGGCATATTTTTAGCTCGTTTCCAAAGGTCGAGATCTCGAGAATGCGAGATCGCGAGAATGCCCCTTACAGTATTCCATACTCAGTTGTGCATTTTTCTAGTTAAACATATTTGTATCCAATAAACAGATATGATTATTTCAACACATGTTCGAAGCAAATGCTAACTTAAATGATATTTTTTTCTAAGATATGATTTCAAATGGCAGATTTACCAGACATTTGACAGTTAAACATGTTCAACCCATGAATGCAACGAGTGCAGCTTTAATTGAAAAGTCCGATAATTAGGATAAACAGCAGCAAGTGTGGAACTCTGCCTTGGAATGCCAACATTGCTCGTCTTATCAAACTTACGACCCGCGGGGCTAGTTTCTCGCAGAAACAGAATCTAGCATCGCCAGACAGTGCTGACACATAAATCGCAATGTAGCTCAAGGGATATAAGGAGGATGTCTGTTCCAAAGTATACTCCCACTTTCGTCGGAATTGTACTCGTTCTGCTTCTGTGTCTTGCTGTGGAAGGGAAAGGGAAAGGGAAAGGGAAAGGGGCAAAGATACGACCTGAGAAGCGTAAGTACTCACAATCTTGACTTCACTTCTTATACTCCCAAAACTAACAAAACTCAGATACACGACGTGCACAAGAGATATGGAATAGCATCAACTGTGGTACGTTTGTTTGTTGTTTTACACCGCACTCAGCAATATTCCAGCTATATGACGGCGGTCTGTAAATAATCGAGTCTTGACCAGACAATCCAGTGATTGACATCATGAGCATCGATCTAGGCAATTGGGACCGATAACATACATGTACATCAACCAAGTCAGCAAGCCTCACCACCGGACCCGTGAAGATCCGGGGCAGAATAGGTCTACAGCAACCCATGCTTGCCGTAAAAGGCGACATTGCTTGTCGTAAGAGGTGACTAACGGGATCGGGTGGTCAAGCTCGCTGATTTGGGTGCACATTATGCACATCGATCCACGCCATTGGGATCGATGACATGCTTCAACCAAGTCAGCGAGCCTGACCACCCGATCCCATTAGTCGCGCACCTCTTACTAGTGTTATATATGGTAAATAAGTGTATACGTTTGTCCACTCAGTATCTGTGTACCTCTTCTGCTTATTTGATCTGAAGCGGCGTGAAAGCATACTCAAGCAATGTTTCGGATATTAAAAAAAATGTTCCTAACAAAACTGGAAACAATCCTTTGTCATCAGGTTTTACCCTAAAAACTAACTGTTTGGGTCCTAACCGTATTTTGAAGTGATCAAAAACGTATGCCGTCTCAACAAAAATGCCAGTCCCTCACCATAATATTAAATTTTGGGGCCATAATTATATTTGGATTAAGGAGTAGAATAGGTCTTCAGCCACCCATGCTTGCCCTAAAAGGCGACTATGCTTGAAAAGGCGACTAACGGGTCCCGATGGTCAGGCTTCCTGACTTGGTTGATGCATGTCATCGATCCCAATTGCGTGGATCGATGCTCTTCATATAAATCACTGGATTGTCTGGCCCAGACTCGATTACAGACCCCGTCATATATACTCCTCACAAAATGTTAAGCAACAAGTATTATTTTCTGTGCAACATTCTCATAAGTGTTGAATGCCATCCAATGAGAACAAATTCAGGCAGGAGAATTACCTACGAATTCTCGACTTAAAGCCTTTTCTATGTAGATTTTCCTGATAACACTGATAACATCGCCTGTACACAACCACATGCATGTTTTACACACTTCTGATTGCTTAAAAACTGCCAGCAAGGGCAATTTGTCGACATTAACACTTTACACATGGCTAGGCGTCACTTAACGCCAACTGAGGTTGCTCAGATTGTTGAAATGGTACGGAGGGGGAGGGGGCTCACCCAAACACTGCTGTTGCCAATCATTTTAATGTTCACCGCAGTGTCATCTCAGGAGCGATAACTCGATACCATCAAACTGGACTGATGACAGAGAGACCACACACAGGTCGTCCAAGGGTGACAACTCTTCGTGAGGACCGGTATTTAGCCACCCTAGCCCGGAGAAACAGGTTTACTACGGCCAGATCTCTCCAGAATGACCTTCAGAGAGTTGCAGGAAACAGAGCCTCAACACAGACAGTAAGAAACACTTCACGCTCAGGATCTGAGGTCCAGACGACCAGTACGACGTATCCCACTGCCTGCACACCATCGACAACAGAGACTTGCTTAGGCCAATCAACGCCGTAACTGGAGGGTCAATCGCTGGCGTAACGTTCTCTTCACAGACGAGTTAAGATTCTGCCTTGACTTCAACGATGGTAGGGCACGTGTGTGGAGAAACCGTAATGAACGATACGCCAACTGTACAATTGCTGAACACGACCAGTACGGAGGTGGAAGTTTGATGATCTGGGCTGGCATCAGGGTTGGACACAGAACTGATCTTGTGGTCATCAGACGTGGTACCATGACTGGAGTACGATACAGGGACGAGATTGTCACACCTGTGATCATTCCCCTGGCACAACAAGCAGGTCCTAACTTCATCTTTATGGATGATAATGCTCGTCCACATCGAGCAAGAGTTGTCATTGATCTTCTTCAGACCAACAACATCACGCATATGGACTGGCCTGCAAGATCTCCGGATCTTAATCCCATTGAACATGCATGGGACATTCTTGGAAGGCGTGTCTATGGTCTTCATGTTCGTCCTCAGAATCTGGATCAACTTGAACAGGCCTTAAGGAGAGAATGGCAGAACATTCCACAACAGACACTTGATAGGCTTATCTGGTCAATGCCAAGACGTGTAGAAGCTTGCATTCAAGCCAATGGTGGACAAACACGTTACTGAACATTGGATCATTGTTTCAAAATGACTTAAACTCAAATTTAAAGATTTTCATCTTTCAGTGCAGCACATTTTGCACGACTGTTTTCATGATACTGTTTTTGAACATTTGTAAACCTGTTAGGCATAAACGCTTTTCAGTTCCCTTTGAGGACAATGTGTGTTTGTGCTCTTTCTTTGTATTGCTTTAGTCAGTTTTTAGGTATTGGAATATATGAACATGGACTGACACATAATAGATTTGTTGCTTAACTTTTTGTGAGGAGTATAGTTTGAATATTGCTGAATGCGACGTTAAACAACAAACTAACCAAACCAACCAGATTATGGAGACAACACATATCCAAGAGTTTTATCGTCACATACCTGTCTTTTTCAGGTAAATGTCTGGAAGTGACTTACATCGACACCATCGGCAAATTACGATGCAGATCCAAAAACTCTATCTATTATATCAACATCAGCAGCAGCGTCGACACGTGCAAAAACACCACCGACGACAGTTGTTCCGGCCTCCAGCCGAAGGTCATCACCGATTCCAACACGTGCTTCTGGAAGAGAAGCTGCCTCATCGCCTACAGCCGACGTGCTCCTATTGTCAAAACCTCAAACCACAACTGTATAGGGAAGTTCCCGATGTCACTGTCCATTCAATACAGCTGCATCAAGGATGGTACGTAAATGTGTGTGTGTACATGTGTGTGTGTGTGTGTGTGTGTGTGTGTGTGTGTGTGTGTGTGTGTACGTGTGTGTGTGTGTGTGTGTGTGTGTGTGTGTGTGTGTGTGTTTGTATTCGAGAGCGAGTTATATATACAAAAGCGAGTCATAGTGAGTCCTAAAATTATCATAATATGGATTAATACCCAGGTAACCCTCGCAACTGTCGGTTCAATACAGTTGCGTCAAGGATGGTAAGTGCAAGAGCGAGTCGTGGTAAGTTCCACACGTCTCCAAGCTTACGTACCACCAGTACCCCATATCACTGTCTGTTCAATACAATTGGACCAGTTGTGGTAAGTACATCAGCAAGTCACGGTTAGTACAAAGTAACTTGCCCCAAGTACCACACATCACTGTCTGTTGAATACAATTGGACCAGTAGTGGTAAGTACAACAGCAAGTCACGGTTAGTACAAAGTAACTTGCCCCAAGTACCCCATATCACTGTCTCTTCAATACAATTGGACCAGTAGTGGTAAGTACAACAGCAAGTCACGGTTAGTACAAAGTAACTTGCCCCAAGTACCCCACTGTCTGTTGAATACAATTGGACCAGTGTAAAATGTTTTGAATTATTCAAGATGTTCGAATAGCATATTTTAATGTTATGTGTCGTGATAACTAGATGTCGAACTTACCTTAAATCTGCTATGCTGGGGTGAATGAAATATTATCACGATTTGGAATATTATATTCATTTCTAAGATCTTAATACCTTTCTATTTGTTTCCATGTCTCACAATTTTTATTGATAAACTGATTTTACTAGGGTACTTGATTGATTGATTGATTGTTTAACTCTGCACTCAGCAATATCGAGCTATATGAAGACCTCATTACTGAGGGTTTCAAGTATCATACATATGTACATTTTTAAATCTTACAAAAATCAGACAAAAGCGACTTATGCGTCATGGGGTTGTCTTTAAACAAACTTCATCTTTCTTAATTTAAAAGTACATTATAGTACAAAAGTACAGCATATTATATTAAATGTTAATGAATGTTTTTAATCATTGATATTATTTCTGCACATGTTCCATATATCCTTTCAGTAAAGTACAACTATATATTTCTTTAACGACTTTAGCTATGCATGTGTAAAGTCTCTTTCCGTTTACTGCCATTGTCAAATGCCATGGTCGGACTGTACTGTTTTCCGCCTTCTAAACACACATTTCTTACACCTACTATTCTGTTACAGATCTTATATTTTGGCTACATGACAACAATACACAGGCGACGAAAGAACATACATCCGATAAAGGTATGCTTGTGAGTCACATTGACTATCCATGGCACTATCGGGGCGATGTGATCATAACCCTTACACTGAGATCAACCTCCAGTACGAAGAACAAGCTGTTTATTACCGTGCCCTCAATGGATATTGACGAACCGGACGACATCGCCAACATCACCGACTATACCTACAACACCGGCGGAGTGAGCGTCAGTATCAATGCGACAGGAATGAGCAGGTCAGCTGTGATCACAGGGAAGGTGAACACGAATGACTCCATGACAATAATCAAGTTCTACACAAACAATGCCTCGGCCACTGCTCAGGGTTTCATCTTGTGTTACTACTGTAAGTTGAAGACATGATATATAATGATGATGATGGTGATGATGATGGTGATGATGATGATGATGGTAATGGTGATGATGATAATGATGATGATGATGATGATGATGATGATGATGATGGTGATGCTGCTTCTGATGATAATGATGGTGATGATGATGATGGTTATGATGATGATGATGGTAGTGATGATGATGATGATGATGATGATGATGATATATCACAATCATATATAAGTCTGTCTCAGGTCTAACTGTTAGAGGTGCAGAGGGTTAGCCTTGTGGTTTAAGCGTACACTCGTCACGCAGAACTTACACGAATCAGATGGTACTGCTTGTAAGACCAGGGTAATCCGTGGTGTGTTTGCTCTGGCTATGGATTTATCAAAGGAGCATGTGGTATTGCTGTCAAACGTGTTGTTCCAGAGAACAACTTTGCTATCAAACCTGTTGTTCCAGAGAACAACTTTGCTGTCAAACGTGTGTTCCAGAGAACAATTTGCCGTCAAACGTGTTGTTCCAGAGAACAACTTTGCTGTCAAACTTGCTGTTCAAGAGAACAATTTGCCGTCAAACCTGTTGTTGCAGAGAACAGCTTTGCTGTCAAACATGTTCCAGAGAACAATTAGTCTTCAAACGTGTTGTTCCAGAGAACAATTTGCTATCAAATGTTGTTCTAAAGACAGTTTGCTGTCAAACTTGTTGCTCAACAAGAGAACAATTTGCTGTCCATCTTTGCTGTCACATGTGTTGTTTCCAGAGAACAATATGTTGTCAAACCTGTTGTTCAAGAGAACAATTTGCTGTCAAATTTTCCTGTCACATGTGTTGTTTCAGAGAATAATTTACAGTCACACTTGTTGTACAAGAGAACAATTTGCTTGAAATATTGCTGTAAAATTTGCTGTTCTTATGAAGCTTTGGCTGTCAAACTTGTTCTAGAGACCAATTGCTGTAAAACTTGTTGTTCCAGGGACGGAACCTACACAAGACTTGTCACGGGAAGATATTTGTGGCAGTGAGTATCAACAATGCAGTTTTAACACGAATAAAACGTTCTCTACTAAATCTAGGACATGAAACAGATTTCTCAGCCAATTCAAACGTTCCATTGCTGGTGGCAATATTCCACGAACTGAATGCCCAGAATAATTCCAAATATGGATTGCTTTGTATTGCGTTGATTTGTATTAACTTACTTTGAATTGGCTTGGAAGTTTTTAGTTATGATAGTTATGTAAGAAGTGTGTGCGTGTGTGTGTGTGCGTGCGTGCGTGTGTGTGTGTGTGTTTATGTGAGTGAGTAAGTGAGAGAATGAGTGAGTGCGTCATCCGTTTATATCCCATCTTCCCCAGTCAAGAGACTTAACTGACTTTAAAAGTCCAGTTTCCACCCTTGCCGAACTAGGCTGGAATTACTGGGCTCGATCGTAGCGCCACCAGTGGCTATTACAGGCTATGTCCCTTCTAAGCCTCTCCTATGGACCAATCAGATTCCACCTCTCGTGTCACTTGCGTTTGCTTCACAGAAAATGGTGGCGCCCGGTCAGGACGATCTGATCGATAATCAATATCTATATTGTGATAAAACGTGTCTTACATCGCCAAATGCATCAAATCACGTGAGCACCTTGATTAAAAACATGAAAAAATTGGAAAATATTTGCTGACAACGAGTTGGCAGTGTACATGCTTTTCAAAGCCTGCAATCGACCGAAATCTGAACGACAGTTAACGAACCGGATTTCGATTCCGGTGCGCGATTTTGATTGGACTATGCATAGACTCGTTAGTCCAGCCAAAATGTATCTCCATAATACCAGCCCAGTTCGGCAAGGGTGGAAACTGGACTTTTATAGTCAGTTAACTCTCTTGCCTCGGGAAGATGTTTATATCCCTTTTTGGGCACATTTTTTATGGAGGAGCCGGGATCATAAAAAAATGTTATATATTTATATATATATATATATATATATATATATATATATATATGTATATGTATATATTGAAGGGAGGGGGGTGGGGAATGACAAGTGTGACAGAGACCGGCAATAGTCCTAATTTCATCCCCCTCCCACACTAACCCCTCTTCCTGTAATAAAGGACCTGTCCCTCATATGATGCGATCTCTATCCCCAGAATTGAAGAAAAAGAAAAGGACACCAAAACCTGGAAGGGGGGAGAAAACTAATAGGAAGAGCAGTAGGAAAGGAAGGAAGAAGAATGGCAGGAAGAGGGAGAAGAAGAAGGAGAAGACGGGGTGAACGGTGTCAGGTGCTACTGGACACGTGCATAGGACCACACTTTGATGGAGAAATGACACAGCGTCGCCTATAGTGATGGTTAAAGAAGGTCGATCGGAAAAAGACGGCTATAATTGTTGCTCTTTGAGATAATAAGTTCCACACTACATGTATGCGGAGAAATGACACTACGTCGCCTATGGTGATGGTTAAAGAAGGTCGATCAGATAAAGACGGCATTTGATTATTACTGTTATATATAATAATAGTGCGTAGCATAGAGTGCTCAAACAGCCAGATAATAAAGTAATAAACTGGATGTTTTTTTTGTTCATGTCGTTGTGAAGAAACTGAACATTACTATAGGTAAGGTGAAATGTGTTTTAACGTCGCGTTCAAGATTACTTCACTTATATAGCGACGTTGATGTGCGTTGTGTGTGTAGCCTACTGAGATATCATGCCGCTGTTAAACATGGATACTCAGACACAGCATACCGACTCCAAGCCGACTAATCCCTGTTTTCTCATCTTCATGCTGAGCGCAAGGCAGGGTAACAACAAGTACCACCCTTCAACGTCTTTGGCATGACGCGGCCGGAGGTCGAACCACAGACCGCTCTCCGGGCAGACGCTCTATCCACTTGACCACGGAGGCGGTCTATATTGCTGTAGACGATAACGTTTACGGCCGGGGCTCGATATGACGTGGAAGTGCGTCACACACACACACACACACACACACACACACACACACACACACACACACGATCAATATGCACTTGCAGTTGGAAGACATACGAAAATGGTGGCATCAGTGATGATTTAAGAGGAGCAGGGAAACAGACATGTGAGTTTGGGGATGCGCCACTATATCAAGCTTGTGGACAATCGAACCTGTGTTTTGGCGCGACGTGAAAGCGCCTTCATCACCAGGCTGCCTCGTTCCTATACATACAACATATAAATATAAATACGTTAGTTGACAGAGTGAATCAGTTTGGTTTAACAGTGCTTTGAACGGTACTTTTGTCATTTCATGGCGTGTCAGCTTTAATAGTGATGCAGATCTTGAACGATTACTACTTTCATGAAACCCATAAACGCATAAACAGATAGAGACTTGCAATGGAATTGAGTTTAAAGTTAACACAGGATCCCAGCATATACAATCGGTTTAGAAAACCATTTCGTATTTGAAGAATGATAATTATCATAATAATTAAGGATCAATTGCTGGTTCAGAAATGATCCTTGAAGAGGCTCAAACTTACCACCGTAACCTCTCAATGTGTTCGATAGACTATAGAAAAGCTTATGATTCTGTACCTCACAAATGGATTTTGAAGTCACTGGAATGCCCAACTTTTTAATTAATTGCTGGTCAACTCAACTTGAGACGTACTCACCGAGGCAGGTGGTGACTTCGGAACCCATTTCTATCAGAAGGGGGATATTTCAGGGCGATACTTTCAACCCTTTGCTTTTCTGTTTGTAACTAAATCCTTTAAGCTTTTTGCTAAGCAAAGAAGAAAGTTATCATCCTGGACCTCCTCAGCACAGATCCCCAACACCCCTTACTCACCTCCTTTACATGGATGACCTTGAACGTATTGCCAATGGAGGATCCACACTAAGAAAACAGATTCACCTTGTCGAGTCCTTTTCTGATATCCGCATGTCCTTTGGACTCGACAAATGCAACATTCTTCATCTGAAACGTGCCAATGTAGAAACGGGAGGATCAGTCACTTTACTTGGGGGGGGGGGGGGGGGGGGGGGGGGGGGGAGTTATTGACCATCTCGTAGAAGATCCGGCCTATATGTAATTAGGGATGCAGGTTAGGGAGAAACTCCAGAATGACCATATCAAGGATAAACTTTGGGCAGAGTACAAATGTAGGCATAAGAAAATCAGATCTGAATGCTTGTAATAAATTAAAAGCCACAAATACCTATGTCAAGTCAAAGTCAAAGATGTTTATTGTATCAAAGGCCATCGGCCCATATACAAGTTCAGATAAATACAGTGGGTGAGAATTTACAGATTGGGAGATACAACAAAAATTATATAAATATAACATTCATTTAACAATCGGTGATAATCATGAGGACTTTCTAGGGTGAGGTAATTAAAATTATGAATTTCCACTCAACATGTTATTTCGTAGTTCCATCCCATGTTTTACAAATAAAGACAGTTTAAACATTACATCGGCATCATTCGATGACAAAATAGAAACAAAAGCTATTCTACTTGTCTTAGATAAGAAACATTCTGGTATATATTTAGTACGTAATTCTGCATAATAAGGACATTCAAAGGTAAAATGTATTTCGTCTTCTATTGCAGAGTTACAGAATGGACAAATTCTTTGTATTCTTTCAAGTGATATATTCCGTCCATAGTTAATCATAAGTTTTGACAAGCCAAGTCTGTATTTAATATATCCATTTCTTAGGTGACTATTTGTTAAAACTGATAGATATTTTTCTGGCTCTAATAGAGTCTTAAATGTTCTGTACAAATCATAACGTGAACTATTTTCCAAGTTGCATTGCCACCCTTGATAGAACATATTTATTGCTATTTTACGAAAATCATTTAGAAATAAATGTTGATCACCAACAGATTGGTTAAGCCATATATACCCATATCCATGTGAGAATAATAGTGTCCTAATATGCGATACCCATGTAACCTTACCGATACTATCTAAATGAAAGAGCATGTTATAAGCTTTTTTCGGAAGCCGATGTTCTGGCATACGGATGATATTAAACCAATATTTTAAACACTTTATTTGTGAATTAATGTAAAGTGGGTATCTTCCACATTCTCCATATATCATATTATTTGGTGTTGCTATTCCAACGCGAAGAAACTTTTTACATGCCAGTAGGTGAATTCTTTCTAAACATTCATATCTTCGGTAACCCCACACTTCAGATCCATACAATAAAATTGGCTGTATTTGAGTATCAAATAATTTGAAAAATACTTTTGGAGTAATAACTCCAAGTTTATGTGAAACAGACATTATATTAAGTAAAGCTCGTTTCCCTCGCAGTGATAAGTCAGATACACATTTGTTCATATTTAGTGTTGAATTAAACATTATGCCGAGATACTTATAACCATTAACTACATTAATTTGTTGTCCATTTAAGTACCATCTTTCCCTAAAATTTAAAGGACCCCCTTTTCTGAATACTATAATTTCTGTCTTATCTAAATTTACAGATAAATTCCATTCCTTAGTATATTTATCTAATACATTCAACTGATTCTGTAGACCAATAACAGTGTCAGATAGTAAAATAACATCATCGGCAAAAAGGAGCATAAGAAGTTCAAGGATGTCAGGATACATCTGTATACCATGCTTGCCGTTACTTGAGATTTCATAATATAATTCGCTTATGAAAAACGAAAATAACAGAGGACTCAGTATACATCCCTGACGTAAACCAGATGGGCAATCGATAAAATCAGTAACACCATAATCACTACGTACACATGACTTGATATTTGAATACATTGATTGTATTATATTAAACATCTTCCCTTGTAGTCCAGCTTTTCTTAAACAACACCATAATTTATAACGATCAACTGTATCAAATGCCTTTTTAAAATCAATAAAAGCAACGTAAACCTTGTGTTTACGACGTGTTAGACATTTTTGAATTGCAGCATATAATGTAAAAATATGATCTACGGTTGAATAATTTTTTCTAAAACCAGCTTGAACTTCCGGTATTTTATCTCTCATATTTGCCCAGTTAGTAAGCCTGTTATTCAAAACAGAGGTAAAAGTTTTCCCCAAAACACTCATTAATGAGATCCCCCTGTAGTTGTCAGGGTTTCTCGGATCGCCTTTTTTATGTAGAGGGACTATTTCTGAACAAGACCAACTGTTTGGAAATATTTGATTATCAAAGAGTTTGTTGAAACATTTATGAAGAAATGGCATAATATCTAATTGGGAACATTTAAGCATTTCTATCAGCACTTGATCGGGCCCGGCGGATTTTCCTTTTTTTAACTTATTTATTGATGATGTAATTTCATGTTCAGTTATCGTAGAATTTAGTATGAATGCATCAATATCTGTAAACTGATTAGAACTGAGTTCATTTTCATCATCTAAGTGAGGAGAAAAAACATTGTCATTTGCAAAAACCTCTCTAAAATGGCACAGCCATTCTGCTTTCGTTATATGATTCTTCTGTCTGGGTTTGTTTTGTAATGATCTTATCTGTTTCCAAAAGCTAGATTGACTATTTATGCTTCTATGCAATCTTTCAACTGATTTCTTACGTGAAATGGATTTAAATTTTCTGCAACAAAATTTATAATGATTTCTTTGTCTACAGTACACAATTCTGTTAGCGACTGTTCTTTGTGTTCTAAATCTCCTAAGTGCCCTACGTGTTTCTCGTTTCGCTTGTCTACATTCTAGACTTAGTGGTTTGTGATTGGCAAATTGTGGATTATGTCGTATTGTCTTTTTCATGCAGTTAGCAGAGTCTAATACAATGTCGACAAAGTGGCTAATTGCGTTTTCAATAGCATTATCAATTTCTTTAAGGACCATTTCTTTGTTTTCAGTAAAATTATATCTCAGGTTATCAAGAAACAAACTGGAGTAATGATCATTCCATACAATTTTCTCTAATGCTTGTGGATCCATACATGAATCATTATTGCACCTCTTACCCATATTTGGAAATCTACACATCAATTCTAATGGAAAGTGATCAGAATCAGATCGATCACCGACAGTGAACATATTGATAAACTGAAAAAAATCTGGTGAACTTATAAAATAATCGTTCACACTAGATCCACAAATACCTATGCTGTACCCGTCCTTTCATATTCTTTTGGTGTTGTTGATTAGACGAAACAAGAAATTCAGGATATTGACACCCTCACACGAAAAATCATGACAGACAATAGATCCCACCCCCTCGCTCTTCCCTCAATCGCTTATATTTACCAATCATAATGGGAGGGCGTGGTTTTATTAATGTTGGGACTCTTCATGATAGAATTGTATTGTGCACTCTTGCACACATATATCTGTCTGATGATCCTCTTTTAAAGCATGCCAAGACTCATTATGAAAACAAGGCATTCCACTGTTTACGTAATCGAGCTAAAGATGTGGGACATAATCTCAATGTCAGTGTTGATTTTGTTGATGGTTCTGTACTGCGACCAAGCGAGGTGCCATATCAAGTTGGCTCGGACTTTTAAAGGAGAGGTTATCTGAACGACCTCTGCATCGAGTATATGTGCAGTGTGTTGGGA